CGGGACATTGAATTAAGAAAAGTACGTTTGCTGTCTAAGGTGCGTACTGTCGTATGGATGTATATTTTCTGTAGCCGTTCGGTCTTGAATAAATGAATGCTGGACGCTGGGTCAATCCATTTTGCGGGCGTCCATCGCCTGGAAAACTTTTGATTACCGAATCGTGTCATATTTCGGTATTTCCATGCCTTTGTAACTGCCACCGTGCCCCCATGCGCTGATGCGCGAATTTCGGTGTCCTCAGACCCTTGGCTTGACGGCTCTTCACAAAACCTGGTCCCAAACTCCTCCAATCTCTGGAGAATCGATGCGTACCTTTTGGGACCCGTCTCAATTAGTCATGACTTTCTCGGAACCGAGGCCGCCCGGACGGTCCACAAGGGTCACAACTCGGCGCACGCGGAGTCCAAAATGCCCAACATGGCACCACATCGACCCAGGAAGTTTTCGAAGCGCTTCGGAAGATCGCTATGACTCTACTCCGCTACGCTTTCTCGAGCTTCCGACGATCCAAAATGGCCCAAGAGCCCCCCCCCAAGACCGCCCCAAAAGGTTCACCCCAGACTGCTCAAAAGGGATCCAAAGACGGCCTGAAAGGTCCCAAGGACAGCCCCCAGAAGAGCCTAAGAGAGGAAACGCGAACCGAACATCCGAATCTTCGAGAGAGCACGTTTCACGGGCCTTCCCTTGGGAACATCCGGCAGCTCGTTTCGAACCGGGGGGTGCCCCTCCCCCCAACACCCGGCGCCGTCGATCAGAACCAGGGGGGCCCCCCTCCCGCCCAGAGGCCGCGGAGGGGAAAGTTTTCGATTCGCTGGTCGAGAGCGAGCCTCTTCCGGTCGAAGCTAAGCGGGCCGCGCACAGCTTTAATTAACAGAAGAAGGGAAAAAGAAGGCGGGGCCTCACGTCAAGGCCAAGAGAAGGCAAAGCCCCGGGATCAGGTGGCACCGACAGCGAAATGCATGCAAATGAATGCCCTGGACAGGAACCCGGAGGCGAAGTACCGGGAGGCGGAAAGCAGGTGGTGGTGCCGTCAGCGGCCGCAGAGGGGAAACACACATCGCCAGATAATTACACGACCACAACAACCACCACCACCACCAAACACACCACCACCACCACCGCCACAACCACCATCACCACCATCACAGCCCACCACCACCTGACCCAAAACCAACAAAAAACTCGGTGGCGGGAAGACCCGAAGAACTCACCACCACTACCGCCACGAACCACCACACCACCATCAACCACCACCACCGCCACCACCACCGCTACCACCACCACCACCCACCACCACAACCACCACCACCACCACAAAACACCACACCACCACCACCACAACCACCACCACCACAATCACCACCACCACAACCACCACCACCCACCACACACCACCAGCACCAGCACCAGCAGCAGCACCACCACCAAAATAACAGCCCACCACGACCACCACCACCACCACCACAACCCACCACGCTTCCACCACCACCGCCACCACAATTACCACCACCACCACAACTCAACACTACCACCACCACAGACCACCACTGCCACCACCACCACCACAACAAGCCACCACTACCACCAAGCCCACAACAACCCACCACCACTACCACCACCACCACAATGTACCACACCACTTCCACCGCCACAACTACCACCTCACCACCATAACAACCTAGCACCACCACCACCACAAACCAACACACCACCACCACCACCACCACCAGCACAACCCACCACCACCCCCACAACCCACCACCACTACCACCGCCAACACCACCACCACCACCACCCACCTCAACCACCACCACCACCGCCACCACCACCACATCCCACTACCACTACCACCACCACCACAAACCACCACACCACCACACCACCACCATCGCCACCACCACCACCACCACAAGCACAACCCACCACCACCACAACCACCACCACCACCACCACAAACCACTACACCACCACCACCACCACCACCACCAAAAACGCCACCACCACCACAACCCACCACAATCCATCACAACCACCACGACCACCATCACCACCACAAACCACCACACCACTACCACCACCATCACCACCACCACCACCGCCAGAATCACAACCCACCACCACCACCACATGCCACCGCACCACCACCACCACCACAACCACCACCACCGCCACCTCCACCACCACCACCCACAACCCACCACACCAACACAGCCCACCACCACCACCACCATCTCAGAGAGTCCCCAAGAGACGTCCAAGAGGCGCCCAGGAGGAGGCTACACAAATGCCCTTCAGAGGCCCCGAGAGCCCTCCGACGAGATCCCAGGAGCCATCCATCATGACTCTGACCGAAAACCAAGGCACGGTGGTGGAGCGTCGTCGTCGTCGTCGTCATCGTTGTCGCCGTCGTCCTCGTCGACGCTCCCTGCCGCCGCCGCCAGCCGCAACAAGCGCCAGCGCCAGCCAAGAGAAGAAAGCCGTCGTCATCATCGACGCTCCCTGCCGCCGCCGCCAGCGGCCACTGACGCCAGCGCCGGCCCGAGGAAAGGGAGGGAGGGGAGGTGGGGGACGGGGGGGGGAGAGGGGGGGAGGGGTTTGAACCTCCCCCCCTCCGTCACGGGAGGGGGGGCAGGGGGTTCGAACTCCGCCCCTTCAATCCAGGGGGGGGGGATTCCGGTTCCAACCCGCCCCCCCAAGAGCCCGCAGAACGCGCTCTTTCTAATCTTTCGACCCAAAGCCCCCCAGAAATCCCCCCAAACGGCACCCAAAAGGCTTCACACGGCCTACAGGAGGCCCCCACACGACATCCCAGCGACGATCCTGGAGTCTTCTGACCCACATCTCCGGCACGGTAGCGATATGGGCCAAGGCCGTGGAATATCTTGAGGACCCCCCCCAGAACCTGCCCCAATCGTGTTTATTCATTCGTCCATGCAAATTTCTCCGAATTGCTGGTTGTAACCCGATTCAGCACGCGGAGCAAGTGGATAAATATTGTTGCTTCTAAGCATGAATTACCCCCGTGTAATTCCACAGCGACTTTTCCTTCAACAGTGGCGACCGCATCCATGAAATGTTGGAAGTGGTGCCGCTTTGGTCAGCACGCAACAAAAACAATACGCATCCAAACGACACTTGTTAGCATCTGGCGAAGGACCCCACCGCGTCGTGGATCATCATTGGCATCACTACCACGGACAAATATGGTGACAACGTGCACGCCCGCGAATTGCCAAGATTTTCCAGTCGCTCCTGGGAGTGTTGTCACCCCTTCGTTACGCGTAAAGTTGCGTTTGCGAATAATTCTGTTGGCAACAACCAAAATATGTGCGGGGAGGCCAGGCATTCCCACAAGTACAAAACCAATTGTTTCCTGTCCGCCAGCTAATGCGTTCGGCGTTGCTCGCACGCTCGCCAAGTGTCTTGCCCACGCGCGTTTTGCGTATGAATGATTCGTTCGCTCGTTCTACCCACAGCAACACATATGGTACCATAATGGCTGTCATTTGGGGTTGCCAGCGAAATCTCAATGCGAAGGGACAGCGGCTGTGGACATTATATCGAAACCAATGCGGGGTTCGAGAAATTAAACGAAATGGTGAGAACGCAAGTCCCCGATGTCACCAGAGACGCGGTGTTCGCATCATCGCTCATCACCGTAATGAAACCCAATGTGCATTGGGGCATGCTCGACTCTAGTCTACTCACACTCTAATTTACCCCTAGTCTAAAATCCCCCAATCTAGCATCCACTCTACTGTGTTTTACTCTCTCATTTTTCTGCGTCTGCCCGACTCTGCTCTACCATCTGCCCTCCTTTACTCTGCGTTGCTCTGCCCTACCCAAACCTACCCAATCCGACCTTACCCTGGCATGCTTCTACCCTGCCCAACCTTAATGTGCTCTATTCTATCCGGCTGTCGTCCACATTCTACTCTACTCACGTCTGCTCTACTCCATTCTCCCCTACTTACCCTGCCTGACCCTACTCCAGTCCACGCTGCTCTAATCCGCTGACCCCTCTGGGGTCATAGGCGCGTGAGATGTTGTGCTCGTGCTCGTGAACCTGACGAGGCCCGCTTGGGCCGCCACTCCACGCTGGGAGGGGTCGACCCCCCTTCCTCTGGGGGACTATCCACGTGGACCGCGTCGCCTGGCCCAACGCGCACCGAGCACGCGTGGACCTGCGGCGTGCGCGCTCGCGTGCCCAGCCCGACCCCTTCGGCGACGCGCTGGTGCGCCTCGCCCTCCGGAGCAGGAGGAGGAGGAGGAGGAGGAGGAGGAGGAGGAGGAGGAGGAGGAGGAGGAGTAGGAGGGGGAGGAGGAGGAGGGGGAGGAGGAGGAGGAGGAGGAGGAGGATGAGGAGGAGGAGGAGGGGGAGGAGGAGGAGGAGGAGGAGGAGGAGGAGGAGGATGGAGGATGGAGGGGGGGTGGCCTCGCGCCTCTCCTCCTCCGCCTCGCTCCGGGTCGCTGCGACGGCGCCTCCCCGTAGAGGCTGGCGTCGAGTATCGTCCCCTTCGGGGTCCCGAAGCGCTGCCCGGTCCATCGAGATTCGCGGCGCCGCGGCGGCAACCGCGGCCAATTCCCGCAACGCAGCTCGAAGCTCCTCCTCCTCCTCCTCCGCCTCCTCCTCTCCTCTTCTCCTCCTCCTCCTCCTCCTCCTCCACCTCCTCCTCCTCCTCTTCCGAGCTTCGAGCTCGTGGGCACAGGCCGACGAGCTCATCCTCGAAGCTCCATGCGCTACTGGCAGACCTCCGCGAACACGCGGAGGGCCCCTCTGGAGATCAAGAGAAGCCCAGGAAACAGTGCCGACGATCCTCGCGAGGACGTCGGCTTCTCCACCCTCTGACCTAGGATGGCCATGATGCCGCCGACCGCCAACCACATCTTGTCCTGACTGGGGGCGAGCAGCGTGCCCTGGAACTCGCCCGATCATGCGAGCGTTGTCTGCGCGCGCGTCCGTTTGAACCTGGAAGCCTGCCGCCAGCACAGGCTCTGTCGATCCCAACCGAACCTCTCGTATGGTTAGCGGCGGTGGTAGTCCAGGCACGGCCGCGAAGTCGACTCCCAAGATGCCCACATCTCCGATGTACTGGTAGTGGACAGCGGGGCGATCTCGTGTCAGTAGTGGTAGCCCTCCTCCTTCTACGAATTGCTGCTCTAATCGAAGCGTCGTGATCCCGACATCGGGGCCAGCGTTGAGTAGGTCCTCAATCGTGGCCTGGACGATCCATCGGGTGGTGGTAGACGTGCCTCTGGCCCAAGGTGCCCCCAGGATTTCCAAGGAGGCCCTCACGGCCTCCAGAGCACCCCCCACGAGGCCCGGAGGGCCCCAGGGGATCCCAAATTGAACGAAAAAGCTGGGGGCACCTAGGGCCATGGGCACCTTTTCCACTCCCCGCATCCAGCAGGCCCACGAACAAGAACCATCATTTTTTTCAATGTTTTTATATATATATATATATATATATATTAGTTCTCACGCCCACGAGCCCCCCCCGCCCCAGCAGCTTGCCCTCGTCCAACAGGACGGCTTGCAACTCCTCCGCTGGGACTCCAAGCAACACGAGGCACGGCTGGACCTACGGTCAGCGTCCTACCAGAAAACACGCCATAAACATACACTTTTGGCGGTCCGCGCGGACTTCTTGGATCCGCGCTGGACCCCCATCCTGGCGCGCTCCGCGCGCCAGGGCCGGTGCCGGGGTGGCCCAGCGCGGATCCAAGAAGTCCGCGCGGAGCGCCAGACATTTATGCCTATGCCGTGTTTTTTCTACATCGCAAGGGACGCCAAGTAAGGAACGAAGGGGCCTTTTGGCCACGGCGAGCCTCGGCTTCGAGTGGGTTCCCCGACCCGGATCTGAGCAGCGGCCCGGGAGCAGCAGCCCCTCCTGAGCTCAGCTCAGGGTGGCCCTCACGGTGTGGGCATTGGATGAGAAACCCTTAGACAAGGAATCCAGGGTCTGGAAGCCAGTGGAACTCCAATCGTGGATCGGCCATGGATATCATCGCCGCCCTCATTGGATAAGGAATCCTCCAGGGTCTGGCGCCTCCTGGGACTATTGCTTAACAAACGCATCCACCGTATTTCAGCGTCTTGACGGTAAGACAGAAAAACATCCTCCAAGAACGTGAGGCCCTCCGCCGGCCAAACTGACGAATTTTCGCGGGCATACCCGCCCCAGGATGCACAAGGGCATCCAGCAAACACGAAGGACATTCGGGTACCCTCCCCGAGCCGACTTCGACCTTCTACTTCGGTCCGACAGTATGATGCCAACTCCGCGCCCAGGTCCAAAGTGCAGTAGAAGCCAGGCTGGTCACCGGTGCCGCAGCTCATGCGCTCTCCTCCTTCGTCTCCTCGGATACATCCAAGAGCGACGTGGCGCTGGCACCGCCCATACCACAGCAGTGCGGTGGCCGCTGCCACGCCTTCGAACGACGCTGATCGAATACCAAGCGCAGCGCGACAACGGTCTCGCCCTCGACGACTTCCGCCTTCACCGCGCAGAAAAACAACCCACCTCGTCTACCTTCTCATCGGTTCTGCACGGCATGCCCGCCTCTGCCGTCCGGTGAGCCAGCTGCAGCATATCCTTCCTTCGACAGAAGTGCGGATCCACATACTTCTTCATCTCGGAAGTCTGGCCCATTACTGACACACCAATGGAATAGCCATGCGGATAGGGGAAAACGTGCGGATAGGAGGAAACCATACTGATAGGAGGAAGCCAGCGGAAGAAACATGCCGATACAGAGGCCACTATGCGGATAGTTTTGCCGTGCAAGTGCTAAGTAAAATGGGGGGTCCAATAGACCAATTCTTCATGGCTTGAGCTAAGGCTCTGATAGGCAAAACTATATGGAGAAAACACGGGTTGCCATCATTACAGACACGATGCCGGCTTGTTACTGACACATGCGCCATTTTACTGAAGCGACTCGCCCTTGTTACTGAACCTGCATTCGATTCCTCACAGAAGTGCGTGTGCCTGAAACCACTGTCTGACAGCGGTCATGCTGGACGTGCCGCTTGCGTGGACCGAGTCGCAACCAATTCGTGAACAGCCTTCGTCAATCGCAACTGCTGTTTGCATTCCAATTCAATCGACGGCCGCGGCTACCAGCCGCGATCTAAAGCTGTTGCAGGTTGAGGCGTTGCAGCGGCTCGCAGGCACGGCAAGGAACGACACGCCAGATTTTACGCTGTCCAGAACCTAGGCACGATACGGCACGTGACATGCGGGTACGGCACGGCACATGTTTCGCAGTCTCGACGCGTTGGGCACAGCACGGCTACTCTCGTACTCTAACATCCTCGCGCGGTACGGCGCGCCACCCCGTAGAGCACTCGCCGGTCCGCTACGTACAGATGCGTTTATCAGCCGATTTTGAACCATAGACCCCGTCCTCCTCCTGCTCCTCATCCTCGTCCCCTTTTCCTCGACCCCGTCCTCCTCCTCCGCGTCCACATCGGCACCCGCTTCCTCCTCGAACTCCTGCTCCTCCTGCCCCTGCTCACTGCTCCTCATGCCCGCCATCATCCCCCTCACCAGTGCTCTCGCTTTTCGCCCTACCATCGGTCATCCCGGTGGTAGCAAGCTCGGCCAGTTGATGTGCAGCGCCACAAGGGAGCTGAGCATGCCCAGCAGGCCGCACCAAGCCTCTTGCGCGAAGCTGTGTTTCGTCGACCGTGCGGCAAAGGGAGAACAATGGATGCACCGAGGGACAAAGCAAGCAAATGGATCATTTAGGGCACTGGGATCATGCTCTATCCGCTTGCACAGGATGATGAAGCGTGCTTCGAGCACCTGCTCGTGCAGACGCGCACACAGCACAAGAAGTCAGGAGAGCAATACCCCAACCCTACGCATTTCGACAAGACGAGGCCTCCTCTGGAAAAGCCGACGGCGAGGCAGAGGGTCCAAGCCGGACTGGATGCCGCTACCACTGCGAGAGGAGCAGAAGGCTCTGTCGACGAGCCAGCGGCCATCTCGAACGTGCATCACGCGGAGCGCGCGACTCGAGGCGGCCACAGCACACCCAGCTCTCGAGCCAGACCGACCAGTGAGGGCCCCGAGGTCCGACATAATACTCCAGATTTCGTGAGAAAGAGGGAGGGGGGCTGGACCCTCCAAGACAGGCCATTTCAGACCCCCCCTCGTGGGCGAACCCTCCCAAAACTCCGTCCCCAGACCCCCCCCAGGCCCGCCAAGACAGCCTGGAAGAGACCCCCCCCAAAGTGAGACCCCCCTCCCTTGATTACGAAATCTGGAGTAAACACAAACACTCGACTGTCCGAGCGGATCTCTTGGATCTGCGCGAACCGTCGAACGATTGTGTTTGTGCATTGTCTCCTCCTTCAGGCTTGCGGCGGCGGCGCCGCGCCTTGTTTCTGCCGCGGTTCCTCCACTCCGCCGCCCGCAGGAAGTAGAGGCAGCACGGCAGATCGCAAATGGCGGCCTGCCCCCGCGGGGACCGGCACGGGTCGGCGGCCATGTGAGGCTGGCAAAGACTGGCACCCTTCTGGAAACATATTCTGAAATGCTTAGGAGAAGGAGGAGGAGGAAGAGGAGGAGAAGGAGGAGGAGGAGGGACCAGTATAAGCCAAGAGTCATCAACGATGTTGGAATTAACCCTCCCTCCAAGCTCCCTCTTCAATAGGCCCCTACAACGATTCAATTCCATTGAGAGAACTGCCTCGTTGGAGGACAACCGCTTGAAGACCTTGAAATATGCCAAAAAATTGTTCTCGCGATTTCAACGCCACGGATGAACCTGACTGCTGCGTCTTGGCGATCCGGAATCGTGCAAGAACGCCATTTTGGGATTTCAGCACCGCGAATCAACATGACTGTTTCACCGACATACTCCTGAATCCCTCCAACACACAATTTCTGGTACTCTGATCATGGGAATCCGTGAAACTCATCAACATTTTTTGTTATTATAAACAAAAAGCGAATGCGCGCGTCGCAAAAACGATAGCCCCATTTTGAAAACGGCCCGCCCTCAGTCCGTGAAACCCTTGCACAGTTATGAAGCGAATGTGTGCGGCGCGAGGCACATTTTGAAAACGACCCGCCCTCAATCCGTGAAGCTAACGCATGAAGGGGCACTGCCCCAGCATGTTGGAGTCAACTCATGAGGGGCCAGCCAATGCCCCAGCATGAGAGATCGACGAGTGAGGGACCAAGGCCCCAGTATGAGAGATCGACGCGGGGGAGGGAGGGAGGAGGGAGGAAGAAGGAAGGAGGAGGGAGGAGGAGGAGGAGGAGGAGGAGGAGGAGGAGGAGGAGGAGGAGGAGGAGGAGGGAGGAGGAGGAGGGAGGGGGGAAGGAGGAGGAGGGAGGGGAGGAGGAAGGAGGACGAGGACGAGACGAGGACGGAGGAGGATGAGGAGGATGAGGAGAGGAGGAGGAGGATGAGGAGGAGGAGGAGGAGGGGAGGAGGAGGAGGAGGAGGAGGAGGAGAGGAGGAGGAGGAGGGAGGAGGAGGAGGAGGAGGAGGAGGAGGAGGAGGAGGAGGAGGAGGAGGAGGAGGAGGAGGAGGAGGAGGAGGAGGAGGGAGGAGAGGAGGAGGAGGAGGAGGAGAGGAGGAGGAGGAGGAGAGGAGGAGGAGGAGGAGGAGGAGGAGGAGGAGGAGGAGGAGGAGGAGGAGGAGGGAGGAGGAGGAGGAGGGAGGAGGAGGAGGGAGGAGGGGGAGGAGGGAGGAGGGAGGAGGGAGGAGGGAGGAGGGAGGAGAGGAGGGAGGAGGGAGGAGGGAGGAGGGAGGAGGGCGGAGGAGGAGGAGGAGGAGGGAGGAGGAGGCAGGAGGAGGAGGAGGAGGAGGAGGAGGAGGAGGAGGAGGAGGAGGAGGAGGAGGAGGAGAGGATGAGTTCACACAGCCACGGTGTGGCCCAAGCTGGGCCACCGATCTTGGGGGCCCGGGCCCCCTCGCCGGGCGTCAGAAGCGCTCTGCGGAACCCTGGCAGACGAGCTGCGCACGGAGCGCGAGCAGGTCGGCCGACTTCGCGGGTCGCACGACGAGGAAGGGGAGGAGGGGGAGGGGGGAGGAGGGGAGGAGGGGGAGGGGAGGGGGGGGGAGGAGGGGAGGAGGGGGAGGGGAGGGGAGGAGGGGGAGGAGGGGAGGAGGGGGGGAGGGGAGGAAGGGGAGGAGGGGAGGGGGGGGGGGGGGGAGGGAGCGGCCCCCCTGAGGCACAGCACTCTGGTTCAGGGGGGTGGTCGCTCGAACACCAGAGCGTCGTGCGCAGGCGGCTCTCGCGCACGTTGTCCAAGGCCGCCCTCCCGCGAACTGTGGACAGGCCTGATCGCCAAAAGGCAGCGGAAACTTCCCGCGATGCTCCACGCGCGGCTGATTATCTTTGCGACCTCGCGACGCCTGCTGGAGGAGGCCAGCCCATCGGCCCCCGCCCGCGACGCGCAAGGCGGGGGCACCTTCGCGCCCCGTAGTGGTGACATAGAAAAGCCATCGGAGGAGGCCAACTCTTGGGCGGCGAGCGAGGGGGGGGAAATGAGAAGGAGAAGGCCTTCTCAGAAGGCTCGGAAGTCCACCGGCCTTCTGAGAAGTTTTCTAAACCTTCCCCGAAGGCACGAACAACCTCTCAAAAGGTGTGAGGGCTTCTGAGAAGTCCCGCCGCCTTCTGAGAAGGCCTTCTCCTCCTCCTCCTCCTCCTCCTCCTTCTCGTCCTCCTCCTCCTCCTCCTCCTCGCCCTCCTCCTCCTCCTCCTCCTCCTCCTCCTTCCTCCTCCTCCTCCTCCTCCTCGCTCTCCGCCGAAATATACACCTGCACTGGTCCTGGCCGGGCCGTTCCTGGGCCCAGGATCGAGGCATACATGTTCGCCCTCCGGGCTTGGCCGGGACGGCATCTGCACCGAGCGCTGGCCCAGGACGGGCCTGGACATGCTCGGTGTGGGTACGCGGTTGGCCTCCTCCGAAGCCACGAGGGGCCGTCGCGAAACACGCAGGAGGAGCACCGGTCGTGGAGAACAGGGCGGGCCTGGACATGCTGCTCGGTGTGGGGGTGTGCAGCTGGCTTCCTCCGAATCCGCGAGGGGCCGTCGAAAACTGCTCAGGAGGAGCACACTGGTCATGGAGAAGGCTTCGGGGCTCAGGACCCGTCCCTCTCGGGACCCCAGCCCACCATGGCAAGACCGGCTGGGCGGCAGAGCGACAAGCCAAAACGACGCCTTGCCCGCAAAGACGGGGCTGCTGGCCCGACGCGGCGGCTTTCAGCAAGCAACCAGCGCGGCACGCCGCGCTGGGCACTCGAAACATCCTGGGTCCGTGGACGTCCAGGAAGAGGGCGGAATGGAGGATGAAGGCCCGCCGGATGTGTCGGAAAGCTCTTCGGAGGGGGTCCGCGGACGTCTCGGGCGTCCTCGGGGGGGGGGTCCGTCCACGCGCAGCCTGGCTAATCAGGAGCCTGTGCACGCCTTCGGTGCTGAGCACCGACCCCCCAGGAAGAGCCGTTGCGGGGCCCCTGGGCGCCGAACGACGATCGTTACTGGGGGGATCTGGGAGTTTTGGGGGTTTGAGGCAAGTAGTCCCCCCTCTCAGGGAGGGGTTGGGGCTAGGGGGCGGGTGGGGGTGGAAAGAGGGAGGGGGGATGAGAGGGGAGGGGATTGGACTGGGAGGGGGAGGAGAGAGGATGGGAGATGAGAGCGAGGGAGGAGGAGCAGGAGGAGGAGCAAGAAGAGGAGGACGAAGGACGTCCAATATTCGTCGCGATGATAATCGGTATCGTCACGGACAGTGACGACCTGTCGTCTACTGGATCCGATGCATACGATTATGACTTTAGGAATCGAGGTGACCATTCTCAACCACATGATGCTCTCATTGCTCCCACTTCCTCGACAAACCAAACGATTCTGCCCAAACCTGCCGCGTACCGCTCTGCGCGAGTGCCTGATGGGGCCCCTGAGCTGTAGAAAGCAGCGCTCCGAACGCCCAAACTTCGTCTGCTGCATGTCGAGACGCTGCAGGCCTAGGTGTCCCCAGGAACGAACCATCTGGCAACGTGCAGGCGGTGCAATGTTCAGACGGTCGTTCTCGCTCCTCCCCCCCGAGCCTTGAAGAGAAGCAGCACGCTCATCTGCGGGCGTCGGGCGGCTGGGAGGGGGATGGGCAGGGGATGGGGGGGAGGAGGAGGAGGAGGAGGAGGAGGAGGAGGAGGAGGAGGAGGAGGAGGAGGAGGAGGAGGAGGAGGAGGAGGAGGAGGAGGAGGAGCAGGAGGCGGAGGAGGAGGAGGAGGAGGAGGAGGAGGAGGAGGAGGAGAGGAGGAGGAGGAGGAGGAGGAGGAGGAGGAGGAGCAGGCGGAGGGAGGGAGGCGGAGGAGGAGGGAGAGGAGGAGGAGGAGGACAAGGAGGAGGGAGGAGGAGGAGGAGAGGAGAGGAGGAGGAGGAGGAGAGGAGGAGGAGGAGGAAGGAAAGGAGGAGGAGGAGGAGGAGCAGGAGGAGGAGAAGCAGGAGGAGGAGGAGGAGGAGGAGGAGGAGGAGGAGGAGGAGGCGGATGAGGGCGAGGAGGAGAAGGAGAAGGAGGAAGACGAGGGGGAGAGGACAAGTTAGGTGCGCTCGCGTCATATCTGACATCCTACCCCTCCCTCCCATCCCTTACCATGGCGCAGATCCCCTCTCTACTCGCACAGTCGGATGTCGAGCAGGGCAATGATCCCGAAAGGGTACGCGATGCATTCTAGAGCACGGCGTGGCATGGCGTAGAAGAGCCCCGCAAAGCGTAGTATCAACCTAGCATTGCGTTGCACGCCGTGGCATGTCACGGGACATGACGCCAGCGCTGCAGCGGGAGTACGAGTCGAAACGAGCGGAAGCGCGGAAATGAGGCCAACGCTGCAGCGGGAACACGATTCGGAACGAGCGGAAGCACGGAAATGAGGCCAGCGCTGCAGCGGGAACACGATTCGGAACGAGCGGGGCCCGAAAATGAGGCCAGCGCTTCAGCGAGAGCAGCATTTTGAAAAAATGCAAGCGAAAACCCAACTCCGGGGAAACCTGTGTGTAAAAAACAGTATGCGGGGGGGGGGTCGGCACTTTCAACCGTCATCAGGGAGAGGAGGAGGAGGAGGAGGAGGAGGAGGAGGAGGAGGAGGAGGAGGAGGAGGAGGAGGAGGAGGAGGAGGAGGAGGAGGAGGAGGAGGAGGAGGAGGACGAGGAGGAGGAGGAGGAGGAGGAGGAGGAGGAGGAGGAGGAGGAGGAGGAGGAGGAGGAGGAGTAGGTGGAGGAGGAGGAGAGGAGGAGGAGGAGGAGGAGGAGGAGGGAGGAGGAGAAGGAGAACAAGGAGGAGGGGAGGAGGAGGAGGAGGAGGAGGAGGAGGAGGAGGAGGAGGAGGAGGAAGAGGAGGAGGAGGAGGAGGAGGAGGAGGAGGAGGAGTAGGTGGAGGAGTAGGAGGCGGAGGAGGAGGCGGAGGCGAGAGAGAAGGATGGGCAGCGCTCGGCAGCGGCTGGGCGGCCGGTTGGGGGGGGCTGGCTTCCCCCACGCGGACGCCAGAGCACCCGCACTGCCGTGCAACGAGGTGGAGCCGCCACCCGCGCGGGAGCTGGCCGAATCCGGGCGCGACTCGGCCACGCGCCCAGCGGGCGGGAACGACGCAACCCTGCCAGCGGCCTCGGCGCCCTTCCCAACAGCCCGGCGGCGGTTGCCGGAAGAGCGGTCTGGCAACGTGGGCTCGGCATCGTCCGAGATCTTCTGGGCAGCCCGCCTAGCGGCACTGGCGCCCTGCCCCGCAGCCAGGTGGGGGCGGTTGACGGAGGAGCGGTCCGGCAACCCCGGCTCGGCAGCAGTCGTCGTGGCAGAGAGTGGCGGTTGGGATCGTGACCCTGGGTTTCAACGACACAGTGTGGCAGCAGGAGAGGGGACATAATGTTTTGCCTTGAGCCACATGTGGCACGGACACGCACAATATGGATCTCTATCCATCAGTCCCCAGAGTGAAAGACCAAAAGCTAAACCTATACGTGAGATTATGGACCCCTGGAACATGGGTCCAACTTTCTCTAGGTTTAGCTGTCCCGAAACTCAATTCACAAGTCCGTGGCCACTGCCTGGCAGTGTCAAAAGCGACCTGCAAATACTAAACATACGCAGCAGTAGAAAGATAGAGAGAGAGGCAGAACTAGAGAGCATATTATTGGGAAGCGGATTCGGAGGATAATGAAGGCGGAGGGAAAGAGGAGGAGGACGGGAGGACACTACCACCACCAACCAGGCCAGGAGGAGCCCTCTGGTCCAGGTAGTCGAGCCATGCGATCCAGGCGGGCTCCGACAGCATTCTTCGGGAGGCTGACTGAGAGCGATCTTTGCGCTCGGGCATGTCCTTCCGGCGGCCGACCTCTTGAGCCTCGTCCACCAGACTGAGCTTGCCATTGGTCATCAGATCAAACAGCGCAGCATTGCACTTAGTCGCGTCGTCCTTGGTCAGTGCATCCACGGGCATACGGCCATGGGGTATCCACCGTATTCTACCCCTGGCTCGCTCCAAGGACTCGCAAATGATGGCGAGGTCTAGAGCAGTACGCCTATCGCGGGCTGACGCATTGCCTTCCTTCTGGAAGGTATCATAGATTGACTTGGCGTCCACCGCGTGGACCTGTTGCTCCCTGGAACCCAAACTACAATCGCGTCTTAAGACCGTAGTGAAGGGCCCTGAGGCCCGCACGCAATCAGGCAGATCAACATCCCTGAACACAACATCTCGATACAACACTTGAAGATACTCGACTTCCGCCACGGCAGCCGAGAGAGCTTGAGTCTCCCCGGCTAACGTCGAAGGCACCTTACGCCGTAGCTTACTGCTACGCCAACCGAGCACGGACGCTCTTACCACCTGATTATCGAGAGCAGACTTGTCGGCGGCCAACACCATCCAGGCTCCCTGGGTGGGGTCGGCCGGAAGGCCGTTGTCATCCTGGAGAGACTCTACCGATCCAACACCGCCAACGTCGGAAAAAGAGATGAAAGACATGCGCTCGGGGTCTAGCTGCCAGACCGTCAATCCTCGAGAGGCTGTTGCCCTCAAATGCTTCACCAACTTGTCGGCGCAAGACACGTCCGACACTGTCGGAGCCCTTAAACGACTGGCCAAAATATTTGCCACTCCGGCCGCTTCTGGCCGTGACTCTCGGCCGACCCAATTGAACTTGTAGACCCGGGAACGCAAAGCTTTGAACTCGGACGGCTCGAGAGGAGAATTCTTGACAGACAAGCGGCCCCGGGCCAGAGTCAGGGGGCGGATTTCTTCCAGGATGTATTTTTCTTGATCGATAACGGCCTTGCCGGGTAAGAAGGAAACGCGCCTACCCGCAAAATCCACTGGGCCGGCATGACAATCTCGATATTTCCCGAAACGGAAGCGGTCCTCTAGGATACTGCGAATCCACGCTCGGGCATCCGCATCCGCACTGCCGATAAAGAAATCGTCGACTTCCAGCAACATCATGTTCTGGATGGCCCCATCTGCTCGATACTTCAACCACCAGCAGGGCTCCAGCAAACTCCTTTCGAACCCGTGCTTTTCCAGATGGCCAACCACGGTGCGACGCCACGCTACTGGAGCATCGTCCAGCCCGTAAACGTTCACCAGCAATAGGATAAGGGATCCAGGCTCGACGTCGATACCCTCGCAGGGTTCAACATATATTTGGCCCTGGGACCTCGTCATTGGATCTGACTGGGTGAAAGCGTTCTTAACGTCCGCAATGTCCCCGAGCATCCGGAAATTGACCAGTACCTGAATGAACATCATAATAGATGAGGTCTGGGGAGTGGGTGCGTATACAGCGAGGGAGCCAGAGTCGGGGCCCTTATGACCATGTACACACCACCTGGACTTCGCCTCGGGTTCCACGAAAGTCCCTTCGACTGGCTTCCATCGGCGCACCATTCGGCTGGATATGATCCTGTCCGGACAACGTTGCCGGATCTTCGCCGCCTGGCTCGGAGGGATGACTCGGGCACCCCCGGATTGCAGCATGGCCTTCCATTCTTTGTTATATGAAGCCTGAAACTTCTGACGCTCCTGAGGGGTGAGCCTCTTGAGGGTCGCTTCTCCCCCGCGGCTAGCCGCAAAGGTGCCCCTGTCCTGGATGCTTTCGCCCACGGCCCCAACAAACCCCTCGACATCCCCGGGAACGACGGAGAGCCCGTCAATCGGTCCCGGGACCACGAAGAACTCGCTGGTGGCTTCTGCCTCGACCGTTCCCTCGGCTCCCCTGTTGCGATTTGGCGACCGAGACCTGACTCAGCTTCGATGGCCTGAACACGCTCCTGAACAGACTGCTTCGGCTCATCGCCGGTTCTGACAGGCCCCCGGGTCTCCAGGCCAGGTCCAGGACCACCAACGCCGGAGGAGGAGGAGGCAGTTCCACCGACGGGGTAAGGAGGGGAGGAGCCCGAGGAAGGGTCGGTCCTGGCCCTCTTTATCTCGGGAGGTGCGCTCCCAGCCCTCGCAGCTCGAATGCAGGCTGGGACATCCTCAGGCTGGGTGAGACGCCCCCTTGTCTTAGGCCTCGCCCCCTCTGGTGGAGACGGAGTGACAGGGGAAAGAGAACTGGGAGACACAGGCAAGGGAGGAGGAGCAGGAGCGGGTAAGGAAACAGGACGAGGAGGAGACGGAGGAGGGAGGAGTCCTGGATTCTCCTGATCCCTTGGCTCGACCTCTGCGGATCCTGAACTGACTCCTCGAGACCACTGCTGACTGAGGGGCGGCGTTGCCGACTCTCCTCTGTCTGAGGGAGCCAGCTCAGAAATAGTGGGCAGCCCGGTCCTGTCCGAGCCTGGTTGGGCCACGACCGATCCGGCACGAGAGAGAGACCCTCTGGAGGCCCTCCGAGGAAGCCCGAGAGTCCCACCCACCGACGGGGAAGAGGGTCGATCCTCCGGTCTTCGTTCCTCGGCTGGTGTTGGCCCAGCTCCGGGGGCCCTTGGTTCCGAATCGAGCTCGGCTTGTGCCGCCTCGTCCCAAGCACTCTCGGGAGGGGGCCCCTCGCGCTGGACGTCCACAGCGGTCGCCCGCCTCGCCTGGGCAGAACGGAGCAGCTCCTGCCATCTAGGGTCTTCGGCCAATTGAAGGCCGCGCTCT